CACTTCGAAGGTTTCTTGTATTTTCCAATATTTTTTTTCTAAGTAACTTATGTGGCCTGCGAGACCAAAGTAAGGTGCAGTGTACAAATATACACTCATTGTATACAACACAATAACCACACAAACATTATCATTATTATATTGTTTACAGAACTTGTTTACACAAACTAACAATACAAAAAATTTTTTATTACTAGTGTTCTATAATATATATGCAAATGTAGTCACTGAACACTTTCCTAGAACTATTGCAACTTGTGGAGGTCTTTGAAACACTGTGTTATGCGCAGTGGAGTTTTAACCCGTAAATGGTCCAAACGTATATACATGTATACGTTTTTTCAACATTTGAAAGTATGTAAAAAAAGTAGATCTTCTTTTTTTTTTACATTTGAAAATGTGTAAAAAAACTTTGATCTACTTTTTTTTTTTTTGTTATATTTGAAAATATGTAAAAGAAAACGTAGATCTACTTATGGAGCACTACACATGTGAACGTAGATCTGCTTGGACCGTTTACGGGTTAAACTGCTCACACATAAAACGAGAGTGCATTTTTGTGGGCGTTTTGTGGTATGTGCACAGACAAAACACCTCTTCTGAGCACTTTTCTTGAAAGCAGTAGGAGGCAGTTGTATGGGGTGGTTATCACCAGGCCTCAGACGAGATGGCATGTGTTGGTAATTTCGTGGGGGCTGGTGTTGCTGCTTGGTACTTGAATATTTTTTGTCTGATGATTCACAAACAAAATTCACCATATTTGGGTTTGTTGTTGGTCTTCCACTTGTATATGTTATAAGCATTCAGCATGGAAATGTCAAGAAGATGAAAAAAAAGTTTTATGTACCACTTATAACTCTTGCAAACACTATCAGCAAGTCACATTTGTCCACTAAGTGCATATTGAGGTTGTAGTTCATCACAGCTGCAGGTTTTAGAATGGGTTCATTGGTCTCTATATTCTGCCTGCCACTGTCTGCCATTTCGTTTTGGTGAACTGATGTCAACAATATGACATCACGTTTGTCATGCCACCGAAATGCCATGATGTCATTGGCAGCAAACGCCTGCACCTCACCTCTCTGAGTGCCTGCGCTGAACCTAGGCATATGCTTACGATTTCCACGCACTGTGCCACATACACGTGTCGTGTTCACTCGCAAGAAATCACTGAGTGTGGGGCTTGTGTACCAGTTATCAGAAAATAATATATGCCCCTTACCATTGTTCTAACCACATCACCAGGGATACCCAGTAACTTCCTGGTATCTCTCAATGTATTACTGCCAGTGTACACAATTATATCCAAAACCAGACCACTTTTGCAATCACACAGTACAAATAACTTTATACCAAAGCGTTTTCTCTTACTTGGTATATACTGCTTGAACGACAGTCTGCCTTTAAACAAAATCAAAGATTCATCAATAACAAGCTTCCTGAAGGGATAAAAATACATACAGCACCTTTGTTTCAGGTACATGAACACATTCCTGATCTTATATAACCTGTCATTTCTGTCAGGCCTTGTTTTGTCTGAGAAGTGTAGCATACATAACAGTATCAAAAATCGATTCACTGGTATAATATCACTAAAACCTGGGGTTGAAGTCAGGCGTTCTGTTTATTTATTTATTTATTTATTAAATGTCTTTGCAAACAGTACATTGAGATTGTGTATATACAATAGTGGGTTGCAATACAAAGAGAGCCTCTATTATGCCTTGGCATTATGGGCCAACTTAACATTATTGGCTTACATTCTACTTAATACTAAGAAATAGTATATCATAGTTGTACAGTAGGATTGTAATTATTTCATAGTTGTACAGTAGAATATTAATTATAAATGAATCAAAATTTGTATAATACAAAGATATACGTATTTATATTCTAAAATGCTTTTGTGAAAAACAATGATTCAATTACAGTGGACCCCCGGTTAATGATTTTAATCCGTGCAAGAGGGGTAATTGTTATGCGAAATAATCGTTATGTGAATGAATTTTCCCCATAAGAAATAATGGAAATAAAATTAATCCGTGCAAGACACCCAAAAGTATGAAAAAAAAATTTTTTTACCACATGAAATGTTAATTTTAATACACACAAACTGAAAAAGGCATGCACACTTACATGACACTTACTTTTATTGAAGATCTGGTGATGATTGATGGGATGGGAGGAGGGGAGAGTGTCGAACTTATTGTTTAGAAGGGGAATCCCCTTCCATTAGGACTTGAGGTAGCAAGTCCTTTTCCGGGGTTACTTCCCTTCTTTTTTTAATGCCACTAGGACCAGCTTGAGAGTCACTGGACCTCTGTCCCACAACAAATCTGTCCATAGAGCTTTGTACCTCCCGTTTTTTTACGATTTGCCCTAAAATGGGCCAAACATTGTCATTGTAATAGTCACCAGCACGGCTTGCAATAGCTGTGTTAGGGTGATTTTATCCATAAAGGTTTGCAGTTCAACCCACTCTGCACACATTTCCTTAATTTTTGAAGTGGGCACAATGGATTCCACAATGGCATAGGCTTCTCAGGGTTAGCCCCAAACCCTTCAAAATCTTTCTTAATTTCCATACTAATTCTCACCCTTTTTACCACAGGGTTGGCACTAGAAGCTTTCTTGGGGCCCATGGTCACTTATTTTCCAGAAACAGCACCGAAAACACTGTAATAATACAAAATATTCCGAGTGTATGCTTGGATGTTACCGCGGAGGCTGGCTGGTAAACAATGGCACGGGCGGCACATGTGAGGCTGGCTGAGGGCGCACATTGGACGCGTCTCGGACGAAAATGGGGGTGAGCGGGTTTTTAATCGGTATGCGCGGCAAAAATTTTGCGATTAAAGTAAGCGGTATGCGGAATAATCGCTATGTGATGCCATCGTTATGCGGGGGTCCACTGTATATTCCTGTCAACAATGGATAAAAGGTTCAATGTGATTGTTTCATTTATGATGTGGGAGTACATATGTGAGTAAATGTGTACTGAGTATTTAGCATTTAGTCTAGGGTGATTTAAGTGGCTTTTGAGAAGAGTCTTAAATTGATTTTCAGACTGGGCTACTTTAATATCTTCTGGTAATGAATTCCATATTTTGGGGCCCTTTATGTGCATAGAGTTTTTACACAGTGTGATATGGACACGAGGTATATCAAAAAGAGATCTGTGTCTTGTGTTGTGGTCATGTGTCCTGTTTAGGTTGGTGAGGAAAAGTTTGAGTGTGGGTTTATATTTGCGTGTATTGTTCTGTGTATGTAGTAGGCACATGAATAAGTATGGATGTTCTTAATGGTAAGCAGATTCAGACTTTTGAAAATTGGTGGAGTATGCTGGCGGGAGTGGGAATTTGTTATTCTTACTGCTGCCTTTTGCTGGGTTATTAGGGGTTTTAGGTGATTGGATGTTGTTGATCCCCATGCACAAATTCCATATGTAAGATAAGGGTATATGAGTGAATGGTACAGTGCGAGGAGAGCTGATTGTGGAACGTAGTACCTTATCTTTGATAGTATGCCTACAGTCTTGGAGATTTTCTTGGTGATTTGTTGTATGTGTGTCCGGAACTTAAGGCTACTGTCAAGGTATGTGGTGACAGCGTACTTATACACGTGACGTAAGCATTATTGTGGCAAAGAACAGGTACATCTCTGCCACAGTTGTGTCTTTCCACTGGTGTAGCTTTGACCTTGGTGAAAGAATTGTATTTGCCATGGTGTACTCATAGTATGTGTTGTTTTCCCTGACAATAATTTCCATCAGGTTTTCATCGAAGAATAACTGAAAGCATTCCAGTTCAGTGGCATTGTCCCCAAGTGTACACGATGGCCATATTCCACTTTGTGCTTCATCAGAACCATGGGGATTGGGAACAAAATTGGCAACTTGCTGCCAATCCCAGATGTGGTCCGCTGGTGGATTCTGGATATTGAAAGGTGGTTGTGGTTGTGCAGGTTGTGGGAGTGTGGGGGTGGTTGTGGCTGTGCTGAGTTAGCACCGTGGCCCGGTACTGGTGCCACAAGACTCATGCTACCGCCAACACCACCACCTGCTGCCCCACACACACTACGCATCCCCATTGTAACAATATCATCGTCATCTTCACTCTCAGGTTGTGGAGTAGGGCCACGGGATGTACTCCAAGATTTACTCCTTTTCCTTGGAATGGCATGTGGCACACTACCAGAATGCATCCTGCATCGTACATACTGCCGCTTCACTGAAGAATATTCCCCCTCACTGTCGCAACTCGAGCTGCTTTCAATAACTTAGAAATCACTATCACTATCGCTTTCACTGCTCACATCCGAGTCCTGTACACAGGGAAATAGTTTCCTTTTTTGTCCTGGTACAGGTGAACGTGAATAAGACGGCCCAGCATCAGAGGTGGAAGGTTGAGGGTCATCTGGGTTTTCATCACTAATTACGTTATCCTGGGCATTGCTTTCAGTTACACCCTCCTGTAAACCATGGAATTCTCTTTCACTGGCACTTCCATTGCTTTTAGAACTATCACTTGGGAACAGAATACCTCCAATTCAGCAAGGAGTAAGATACTTCTTACCGCAAGGCATGGTGAACAAGGACTACCAAGATGACTTTCCCACAATGCTCCACTGAGTCCCCGATTTTTTTCACAGGGCACGCACCCATCACGCAGACCCATTCTCTCACGTGCAGGCCACCAGCTTTCTTCCGCTTGATTTGAAGCCGCTAGAATTTATGCGTATTAATATGTCGGAAACATTGGCTTGTAAGATGTATATATACGGCCGAAACAGTCAAAGGGTTAATACACATTATTTAGGTATGCATACTGGTCAGAGAGCCTGTTGTAAGTCCAAGTTGTCAGTAAATGAGTACATCACTAAGTGAGGAGAGGCTGTATTAATTACTCTTGTGCATGTGACCAAAGTTGGCATGTCTGTAGTGACTAAAAATACTTTTAATAGTAAGGCACTAACAACAATGTAATGTGTTAATTGCTCAGGGTTATGAAGAGAGGATGTATCAACCTGCCAAGTGGGTCTGCTCTAACACCACTGAGCAAACTTATAGTGACAAGAGCCAGAGGAAATTGTTCTTCAACCTTTTCCATTACATTACTGGTGCCAATACTCAAGGTAAAGCTGACTAATTCACTCATTCTTATCTTACCCAGTATGTTATTTTCTGCTGCAGAATTGATGTACGGTACTTCCACCATTCTTTTTATATAAGCAGGCAGGACATGCATGTATATACATGTAATAAATAAATGTATGTGCTAGTGTTACTAGTTGTCAAAGGCAGGCACTTGTCGATTGTGTGTGTGTGTGTGTGTGTGTGTGTGTGTGTGGTGTGTGTGTGTGTGTGTGTGTGTGTGTGTGTGTGTGTGTGTGTGTGTGTGTGTGTGTGTGTGGTGTGCGTGAGTGCGAATGTGTGAGAGAGAGAGAGTAACCCTCAAAATCATGAGGTAGTGTTAATTTTTAGAGTGTTAATTATTTTACCAATAATGATACTAAAAATGGTCAATGCCCACCAATACAGATACCTTGACACATTCCTACAAAATAGAGATGATTTTGGTTGGTTTCAGGACCAGAAATAGGTTGAATTGGGCAAAAAGTAACAGAAATATTTTATATTTTATGATTTTCCTGATGGGTAAGGCCCCTCCTTCACCCTTGGTCTGTTTTATGGGTTTTTACTAGGGCTGTTTCAGTTATTGGGATGCCGTAAACCATGAAAAATCATTCCTTGGTGTATTTTATTATCAAAGAAATAGGGTAAATTTTTTATTTTATTTTATTTATTTTTTTTTTTTTTGTATCATGAATTCATCATGGAAGGCAAGTTCTGAGAATGTGATTAATGAACAGTTGAAATGTTGCATTGTGTAAAGTTGACCAAATTACTGACTTCTGTATACACTATAGGGTAGTTCTTATAGTTGAATATGTGGTTTCTTGGACACAATTGATAGAAGTTCTAGAAGGCAAATTAGTGAAATAGCTAAGAATTTCGTCAAATTGAGCAATGGACTCAAATTGGACAAAATTGCCAGTGCATAAATTATGCCCAGACTGCTAAATTTGTGCCTGCATAAATTTGTAATTTTTCCATCAAATTTCCTATTTTTGGTGCTGTTACCTTCAGAAAAGATTCTCTACCATTTCAGAAGAAAAAATGATTTTAGTTTGAAAAATGCCAAGATTATCAACACTAAATTTCAGGGCTTCTGACAGTGAAGGTTAATAATTAAAAATTATCACATATCGTCACAAACAGCTTATTTCTATACCAGTTATCTGGAAATGTTGACTGTCATCAATTTCACAGGTAAGCACTAAACCCATAACGGATCATAAAGTACCTGGGTAATGGTAGGTAATCAGGTTTGATCCAAGAAATAGGAGGGTGGCTCTTATTCCTTGGATCAAAATCCTCTTCCAGACATTAAGGTACCCCTTCCTCCTTTATGGAAGGGCATATTTGAGTAATCAAAGGTTTATTAGGCCTTAATATAAAAAAAATAACCATTATGCTTCATTGGAAGTAGTAAATGCATGTGAAACATTTGATCTTTTATCCTACTAATATACACTGTTTACATTTGCATTTTCTAGCTAGTATTTTAACTTTTTCCAGGTATGGACATTCCCATGACAGCCCCCATCACCATACTCCGGCAGGTGCTGCCTGAAGGCAATAAGAGTAACCAAATGTGCTTCTACCTGCCACAGGCCTATCAGCAGGCACCCTCAGTGCCGACAGAAGAAAATGTCTACATTGAGAATCGTCCTGCCATTACTGTCCTCACAAGGTATAGTAACTAGGTGCTGGGGCTTCATGTCAGCAGTTCTGCTTTACTCACACTGTAATGTTTATTTGGTAGTCTCATTCTAACTTTATCACTGTTACGATTCATGAAATTAAAAAGCTGAGTGCTGCTATTACAAAAAATTCTTCTGAAATGGTAGAGAATCTTTTTCTGAAGGTAATGAGACCAGAACTATGACACTTAATTGAAAAATTATGAAATTACACAGAAACAAGGTTGGCAGTAGTGAAAATATTTCATTTTGCCATTTTGCCCCTACACCCCCCTAATGTTTTATAATATAAAAAGTCAATAGGTCTGATTCAATTATTGGGATGGCATAAACCATGACCAATCAGTCCTGGTTAAATTTTATTAACCAAGAAATAGGGTAAATCTTTTATTTATCTTTTTTTGTGACGAATTCAAAATGGAAGGCAAGTGTCATCAATATAGGTGAGGCCTAGGAGGTGATTAATGGACAGAGGGAATATTTTAGTGCTTGGAATGTCTACAGTGTTTATTTGGGACTATTTTTAAACTGGGATTTTTTTAATTCTGTGTAAAATTGGCCAAGTTACCGACTTCCATATACTTTATAGGGTAGCTGTAGTAGTTGAATGGGCAGTTTCTCGTGAACAGTCAACAGAAAAGAAATACTAGTGAAATAGCAAAGAATTTAGTTGAATGGTGCATTGGAATTGGCTTAAAATAGGACTGAAAGTAGGGGAAATTGATAGTGCATAAGTTGCATCCATATTGCTAAATTACCTTCTGTGTAATTCTGTAAGATCTCCATCAAATTTCGTACTTTTGGTGTCATTAACTTCAGAAAGTATCATTCCAGAAGAAAACAAAGTTTTTTTAAAGTGTGAACACTGAGAGAAATAATAATTTTAGGGGTCTGGACAGTGCAAGGGTTAAGTATACAGATTCATATGTTCATTTATGTGGGATTTATATGTTCTTTTATGACACCTGTATCACAACAGTACATAACTTATTGGGTAGGACCTTTGGAGGCTTTGCTATGCTGGAGAGTGTGTGGGAAAATGAAGCCAAGGATCTGCAAGAGAAGCTTCAGGCTGCTGGTGAAACCAACATAGACTTCTCTCTCTTCTACAGGTAACCCTGCAAAATATTTACCTAATTGCAGAACACTCCAGGGTAATTTTACTCTGGGGTGTGATAAAGTATTGGTATCAGTGGGTATTGATTAATTCTGATGGTATCAGTAAAGGCCTAATATTGAGTATTGGTGGGTACTGGCCAAGTTTGCTTTTATTGTTATCCAGAGTTATCAGCTAAGTTCAGTGGTATTGGTATCGGCAAAAATTTTGGTATCCTATCATTAATTACCATATTTTGTACAAGCATTAAATGTGAACACTGAGCAATATTAATATTAGGGGTCTGGACCATGAAAGGATTAAAGAGTTGCACGTTTTCACGTGCTCACAAGATCCTCAAAGCTCTTAGCACAATGTTGTGTCCTGCTGTCCCCAGCACAAAGCTTATCACTCACTAGCTGTGAAGATTGGGTTTACATTTAAATTCTCTGAAGACTCCAATGTATGAGAGGTGATAGCTCTACTTAGTTATATATCACCTCTCTTCCCTCCAAGCAAGATCCAAAAACAAGAACCTTTGGATAAATACAGATGTTGAAATAAGGTGACTTGTATAGGTCTGTCTTGAGCCTCATCAGTGTATCTGAGAAGTGTAATGATATTTCAAACTAGAGTGAAGAAAAATTGTGATTGGTGATATTCTTAGAACTAATGGGAAATATTTCATATTTTCTGCATTTTCCCAGCTAATACCTATTCATTTCAGGTTACTTCTAATTTTAAAAAAAATATTTTAAAAAGTTACACTGTAAATTATACATTTTGCATTTCTAGTTAACAATAATTTCAAGAATGCAAGAAACAAGTTACAGTGGTACCTCGATATTCGAACTTAATCCGTTCCAGGAGGCTGTTTGAATAGAGTTGTACAAATATTGAATCAATTTTTCCCCTGAGAAATAATGTAAATTGGATTAATCCATTCCAGACCCCAAAATATTACCAATTATAAAATATTTTAAGTGAAAATATTGCTTATTTAAACCTGTATAATAAGAATTGCATGCATAAAATCATACATGAAAACGATAAAAAAAATAAATACATGAAATAAATGAAAATTTAACTGCACTTTACTGAGGAGTGCTGATTGCTTAAGAGGAAGGTGGGGACATGTTATTGTATGGGAAGGGTGCCACCTTCCATAAAAACATCAGGTAACTGCCTGCTGGGTGTTTTTTCTCTTTAATGTCCCTGTGCAGTAGCACTTGAAGATGATGGGGATTCACTAGCATTTGATTTTTTTCTTTGCTAAAGAAGCTGTCCAATGCTGTCTGCTTTTGACAGCTTTAGAAAAATTTTGAAAATTAGTCAGCACCATTGTCACTGAGTAGGTAGATGCTCCTATTCACAGCAGTGATGTTAGGATGTCATTTTTCCACCAGGCTCTTGTGTTTGAGCCCAATGGTAATAGTTCCTTAATTTCTGTAGTGGAAATGTTGCCCTTACTGCTTCCCTCCTCTAAAGAAGAAATTTCCTCAACTACTACTACTCTGTGATGAGCTCATTCTTATGATCCTCCACCAACTCCTCTACATCTTCATTGTCCATTTCCAAACCCATGGACTGGCCCAGAGATACATCCTTCACTACATCCTCTGCCTCAAAGTGAAACACACGTGCTCCATTTCACACTGAGTTCTTTTTTCGCTAATTGTTATTCTCACTGCTTTCCTTTTAGGCTTGTTTGGATCACTACTATTTTTGGGGGGCCACGATTACTTATTATCAATGAAAATATTTAAAAAACACTACAGAATACCCATAAAATACCAAAAAGATTCAAGGAGCTTGTATGAACGATGCTTACCGAGCGAAAGCTGACGAGAGACTGAGCATATGATGCCTTGTTTTAGTTGGGATTCATCCAGATGGACTATTTTGTTTAGGTCGAACATCAGGTCAACGTCCAAATACTGAGTCAAATTTTTCTCAAAAAAGTTGGGCAAATATCGAGTTGTATAAATATAGGGACATACAAGTATTGATTAATTACTAGTTATGACATGGGAAAATACAGACATTTATGAGAGTGAGACATTTATTTAGATAATGTTTTGCTTAAACAATAGTTCTTCAGTTATACAGAGGATCTTTAAAACCTATATATAGTATACTCGCAGCTTTATACATCATTAGTAAGGCCTCACCTAGATTACACAGCTCAGCTCTGGTCTCCATATTACAGAATGGATATAAATTCGCTAGAAAACATCCAGCGTAGAATGACCAAATTAATACATAGCATTAGAAATCTTCCATACGATGAATGATTGAGGACTCTTAAACTACATTCACTTGTAAGGCAAAGAATGAGGGGAGACATGATTGAAGTGTATAAGTGGAAGATGGGTATTAAGAAAGGAGATATAAATAAGGTTTTGAGGATATCCCTTCAAGAAAGAACCCGCAATAATGGATTCAAATTAGATAAGTTTAGATTTCGAAAGGATATAGGAAAGTATTGGTTTGGAAATAGGGTAGTTGATGAGTGGAACAGTCTGCCTAGTAGAGTTATTGAAGCTAAAATGTTGGGTAGTTTCAAATTTAGGTTAGATAAATACACGAGAGAGAGGGGTTGGATTTGAGTGAAACTTGCATAACGAGTAAATAGAATCATCAAAACTTATTTCTTGGGTAGCATTGAAAATTGGGTTGGGCAAATATTTTGTTAGTGGGAAGGATTGTAAAGGACCTGCCTAGTATGGGCCAACAGGCCTACTGCAGTGTTCCTCCTTTCTTATGTTCTTATACTGAGGTGTAGATCTGACTAAGGAGGGGAAGGATGGGTTTTTGGAGATCTTGGCAGATCACTTGTACAGTGGACCCCCGGTTAACGAACTTTTTTCATTCCAGTAGTATGTTCAGGTGCCATTACTGACGGAATTTTTTCCCATAAGGAATATTGTGAAGTAGATTAGTCCATTTCAGACCCCCTGAATACAAGCAC